ATACATACATACATACATACATACATACATACATACATACATACATACATACATACATACATACAAACACCCTTCCATTCATCCACACACTCACCCCGAAAGACACCGGGTGTTGGCGACTTCCGTCCGTCGTCTCAGGGCTCGTGCCTTGGAGACGAGGCCTCCGGCGCATCATATCACTCTCGGCCAGGAAGTTTTGTGGCGCCTGCTGAGTTCGACCCAGACAGACGTACAATCGACCGAGGGGAGATGTGTCCATTTTTATTGCACTCTCCTCACGGACGGAGGAGTCTGGTGAGATTTGGAGTCGTCTCACCTCAGTTGCAAAAGTCTCGTCAAACTAACCTTTGTCCTAATCGATTGTCTCAACCATCGGTCTCGAAAGGCATAAAACCAGCGAGAACTCAGTAATTCATTCATTTATTTAACCATTCAATCAATCAGTTATGCATTCTTGCCTTCATTCAGTAGTTCCGTCATTCACTCAATCGCTCATTAATTCATTCACCCATTTACATATTCAGTCAGTCAGTCAGTCAGTCAAATAATAATTAAATAACCAGTTGGTCCTTCTTTTATTCATTCAGTCATTCAATTACCCAGTAAATCAATAATTTGGCAATTTATTTAGTTGTCAGTCAGCCCGTCACTCAGTTTATTAATCGAATGATAATCAGGTTGCCATACCATCAGTCGGTTAATTACTCATTCAACCCATCAGTCATTCAGGCTGTCAGACGGTCATTCATTCACTCAACCATTCACTCAACCAACCATTAGTTAATTCAGTCATTCAATCATGTAGTCAATCATTTATTCCTTCAGTTAATCGTCAGGTTATTCATCTACGCATTGTATCGGTGAGTCAGTAATTTAATAAGTCATTCGTTTCATTAGCCGATTAGTTTGCGGATCAGTCAGCGAGTCGGTCTGTTTGAAAGTCGGCCAGTTAGTTAATCAGTTAAGCGTTCATTTATTCAGTAGCTCTGTCACTCAGTCAATCATTCAGTAAGGAATTATGTTGGTCGGTAATTTAGTCAGTCAATCAGTCATTCATTTATTCATTCTGTCATTCATTCGTTCATTCAGTCGCACAGTCAATAATTCTTTTATTCAGATAATGACTCAGTTTGTTTGACTCAGTTATTCATTCATTGATCCTTCAATTCATTTATCCAATCATGCATTCATTTAATAAATCAGCTCTCAATCAGTCTTTCAGTCAATTATTCAGTCATTTGTTAGTCCGCCATTGCGTTTGTCAGCTGGTCGGTTAGCTCTATTTCGACTATTTTTAATTCTTTATTCTCCTCTTGGTCTTGCTTTTCTCAGCTACAGCCTCCTCGTCACACTCATTCTACCTGTCCTCTTTTGCCTCCTCGTGCCCTTGTCCTTCTCTCTCTCTCTCTCTCTCTTTCTCTCTCTGTACCTCTCATCCTCTCTCTTCGTATCACTTCTCTGTGTCTCGCCTCATCTAACCTCTGCTACTCTTTGATTTCTTTCTTTTCTACCTCCTTACACCCATTTTCTCTTAGCTACAATAAAATTTCGATCGATCATACAAAACCGTCGCCACACAAACAACGCAAATAGGGGAGATTAGGTGCTAAGCCTTCATGGTACCCTATTTCCTACATTAGCAGTACGATCTCATTTGGACTTGGCGTGTCGTTTTCTTCGTCATATTGTTGCGCTGCCTACACAATCAGGTCTACCATCCTCTTCATCGTACCGATTTACCCACGTATCCCCTCAAAAAATGTAGTTCTGACTACTTGGCCAGCCTTTCATACACACATACACCCGCAGATGCCTATTCGCCAGCTATTTGAGTCTATTCCTCCATCCTATCCGACGATCCATCTACAAGTAAGTCCTACACTCTAGCCATAAATTCAGAATAGTTTAAGCCATCTTCTATGCATTTGTTTGTCGGAGATTTCGCTTTTCGTCTCTGTTCATTATGGGGCCCGAGCACAACTTTATCCGGCTCTCCTCGTTGGGTCTTTAGACGGAAAAGCAATAATACAGTTTGTGCTCAAAATATGCATTTCGTTGCTTGCATTTATGGTTGTGTCGGCACCTTCCCGGGTGTCCAAAGAATTGAGAGAGAGCGAGAAAGAGAGAGAATGAGAGAGTGAAAGAGTGTAAAAAGCAGACAAACCGAAGAGCTTCTTTGGAATGCGTTTGCTGAAAGAGTGGACGAGCCAATCGGCAGGCAACGTGCTCAGCCGGTCCCCACATGTCCATATTTGGGCATCAGGGTCACTGGGTAGATTATGGATTTTGCGACTACTCCGGCGCCCTTACCACTTTCTCATCACCACCCAAAGGACAGGCATGAATGTCAAGGCAACCAATGCCTCAGTCAGTTCGCATTTGCGCTCGAGACAAGTCGATGGGGCCGGCGTCTGCTTGCAATCCGGCAAAACAATAGTCTTCTCTTTTGCTATGAAGCACTGAGATCACTCAGAAGCCAGACTGGTAGAGGCAGTTGCTTGCACGAATTATTACGATATAAAGACGGTTAAAATTATCTAGGCCTACTTATATAGTAAATGAGTAGTCACCTAATGCAATGGCAGATTGTAAAAAAATGTGAGTTGGTAGAGGCTTGGTCTGCCTTGTATATGATTTTATATATATATGTATGTATGTATATATGTGTGTATGAATATATGTATGCAGGTATGTATGTATGAAGTGTACGTGCCCCTATTTGTAGTATAGTGGCAATCTGTTATTAACTCACCTTTAGTAAACTATGCAATTTAACATAAGTGATCTGACCTTGTTTTCGTAACTTGGTTGGGTTGTCAGGGCGACTTAGTTGGGTGCATCCTGTATGAAGCCCTCTACTCCAGTAATTATCATTATTTCCAGCGTTGGACCGTGGAATTTGTACATTCCCAGACGTTTCTCCGGCATCGTAGTCGGCATTGTCAGTGAAACTTGCCAATGTCAGAACCAAGCTACAACTCGTTAAAGGGACAAGTGAAGTCAATCCTATGGCCAACTTTATCTCGAAATGGTTGTGCTATCACTCCTCTTTCTATGCCGGCCTATCTATCTACTTCTTATCCTCTTATCACACTCCCGCCCTATCACAACCTCTGACTTGTTTATATTCGAAGAAAAGTTGGGTTTCGAGAACTCTCTAGTTCATAATTGTTAAGCGCTTTTCCATTTCGAGTGAAAGAGTTTAGTGAAGAAATTCTAAGGTCGATCCCACCAGACGACGATGGAGGATTGACTTTAGTGAAAAATTCTTTATGACGTTGTTTCCCAGGTGATCATCTTCGATCTCGGTGAAAACGTGCTAAGATTTCGTGCTTCGTATGACTGAAATTACCAAAGCAGCGTATCATCCTTACAAACATATTCAAGCTAACGAGTCAAGAAAACTCACCCACTCATCCATAAATGCAGTATATATACTCTATATCTGATTAAGTAAAAAGTGAATTGGTTAGTTCAAGTCATATGTAAAACTCGAGGCATGGTTGTGCCTGTCTGT